TGAACACTGTTTTGGAGAAAAATACTCAATACAATCCCACGCTTCCATATGCTGCTGTGGCACTACGAACCAGTGACTGGTATCACTGGATATCCACTACAAAAATATACAAGCAACTGCCAACTGACAGTTTTTTTTTTCTAGGATGCATCATTGTCTAAATGTCACTTCACTAGAATTTCTTTTGCGAGTAACCTTGTGGTCATTCTTAAAACTGGAATCGTTTTCAATCAGCGACAGGCCAATCACACTTCAAAGGGACGGGAGCATTAAGCAGAGGAGGAGTGTTGCTGCAATATTTGCTGCTTGCCAACAGATGTGAAAAAGGTCATCAATTATTTTGTGCACCATTTTAGACTCGGAAAAACATGATGCAATAATCACTGACTCCTGTCAGATGCTCATGCCTTGTGCAAGCGCATTAAATTTAAAACGGGCCCATCAGATGTCATTCCTTTAATCACTGATGAAGGCCGAGGCTCAGCAAACTCTCCCTCAAGTGTCTTGCCAATTCACCGTTTGTTTTCCTCACCTATGGTTTGACAGGTTCGTGCACACACCGTCCGTCTCAGAATCTCATACACCTGTGAAAGATTTGAGTTTGTTAGACTGGAAATATGAGCAGCACAAAATACCTCATAGGACAAACAGTATGAAATATAGATGAACACTTACTATCCTTCCCCTTGTAGCATTGTCAAAGAATGTCTCTTTAGATGTGATGTTGTACCTGGAGGAAACACAAAAATGACTTTCAAAGCAAGCTTTTCAATCAGTTAATTAAATGGGGGTTGTAAATGTTTAACTAACAGAATACTAATATACTCTCTAACTAAACTACCAATCACTCCAGCTCCATTCACTCTTACAGAAAAGTTCTGGCTTCCTTGAAGTATTTAACTGACACAATGGTACTTTGATGTGGAAAAAAATTTGCAAAAAAATTTTGCAAATACATTTATTTTGGAACTACAGTCACTTTGCGGTCCTCAAACACCTTCCCTTTGCTCACTCCACGTATTTATCAGGAAACTACTAATTATGACCCATGTTCTTCCCTTTTTGCTTTTATATTTTGTAAAACTGTCTAACCTGCATCCAGGGCCGGCCCTGACCAATTTGGTGCCCTAGGTAAGATTGTAGTTTGCGCCTCTAGCATCACTATGAATTTCACTCCTAATTTTCATACAGTAACACAAACTGTATGCATGTATTCAAGCTTTATTTAAGTATAAACAACACACTAAATGAAACTGAAGAAACAAGTCTTTGCAACACTCCCTGGCTAACTCACCTGTATTCAGGCAAATATTTAACCACAAGCGCCGATGCAGGTTCTCTACCGTCGTCTTCAGACGTTAGCGAAGACGCTAACGTAACGTCTTTGCTCCGAACGTTAGCAGCTAATACGCTAAAGTTTTCGCTAACGTCTTTGCTGCTAACGTTAGCAGCTAAAACGCTAACGTAACGTCTTTACTGCGAACGTTAGCAGCTAAAACGCTAACGTAACGTCTTTACGGCGAACGTTAGCAGCTAA